GCAGAGGTGCAACTGGTACTCTGAGAGAGAACTCTATCAACATCAGAGGCCGGAGACTGTTCAACACGCTTCCGCTACACATAAGGGGCATAACTGGCCGACCCCTCACAGTGTTCAAGAGAGAACTATCAACATCAGAGGCCGGAGACTGTTCAACACGCTTCCGCTACACATAAGGGGCATAACTGGCCGACCCCTCACAGTGTTCAAGAGAGAACTATCAACATCAGAGGCCGGAGACTGTTCAACACGCTTGCGCTACACATAAGGGGCATAACTGGCCGACCCCTCACAGTGTTCAAGAGAGAACTATCAACACCAGAGGCCCGAGACTGTTCAACACGCTTCCACTACACATAAGGGACATAACTGGCCGACCCCTCACAGTGTTCAAGAGAGAACTATCAACATCAGAGGCCCGAGACTGTTCAACACGCTTCACTACACATAAGGGACATAACTGACCGACCCCTCACAGTGTTCAAGAGAGAACTATCAACACCAGAGGCCCGAGACTGTTCAACACGCTTCCACTACACATAAGGGACATAACTGGCCGACCCCTCACAGTGTTCAAGAGAGAACTATCAACATCAGAGGCCCGAGACTGTTCAACACGCTTCCACTACACATAAGGGACATAACTGGCCGACCCCTCACAGTGTTCAAGAGAGAACTATCAACACCAGAGGCCCGAGACTGTTCAACACGCTTCCACTACACATAAGGGACATAACTGGCCGACCCCTCACAGTGTTCAAGAGAGAACTATCAACATCAGAGGCCCGAGACTGTTCAACACGCTTCCACTACACATAAGGGACATTTTCTGACCAGGGGGAGAAAGATACTGGCAGTATGGGGCGTTAAAGTTTATTGAAGATTAAATTCTGCAGAACATGTAAATGTATAAAGTTCAAATATAAAGTAAGTAATTATATAAAGTTTATATTAAACACGGTTTATATTATAGGCTTATAACAAAGTTGATATTATTAAACTTAATATTGAACATGTAAATATATAGTTTCAAAATATATAATTTAAGGACTATATAACGTTTATATTAAAATATATAAAGTAAGAATTAACAGTAACAATTCCAAGTCCGAGGACTAGATTTAACTTAAAAGGTACACCCGTAGTAAGTATGAGACCTTAGCCTATAGTGACATGGAAACTAATTCTGCAGAAACCTAAAGGTTAACTGGTACTAGAATTAAGGCCGAGTGCAAATGTGTAGTAATTATATAACACTAGGATATAACAGGCAGGACACAAAGAATAACTAATAAGTGAGAGACCACATAACACGTAATGTACCCGGCCAAGAGGCCGTAAAAGACCTAATGGATAAGGAGAAGGGGGTGTGACTACAAGTAGGGCTTACTAGCACCTAGACTGGGCAAAGTATTAGCTGCGGACAGCGGGACACTTGGGGACCGGCGCTGCACCCCCCTTCCCACATGCAGTGGGGAGACAATCGGGACAACTGTGCAAAGCATGACGGGGGTACAAAAGCAGCCGCTTGCAAAGGGGGGGAGGGTGGGGTTTTGCGAGGGCAGCGGCGAGGGCAGGCGGAGTGAGGCAGAGCCCCAGTGTGCGCCCGTATTTATACAGGCCCCAAACTGCCCGCGCAACGCCGCGGGACGCGCTGCGCAATTGTTTCTTTCTCCCCCGCCAGAAAAATCCCCGCTTGCGATCAAGCAGTGACCATAACTGGCCGACCCCTCACAGTGTTCAAGAGAGAACTATCAACATCAGAGGCCCGAGACTGTTCAACACGCTTCCACTACACATAAGGGACATAACTGGCCGACCCCTCACAGTGTTCAAGAGAGAACTATCAACATCAGAGGCCCGAGACTGTTCAACACGCTTCCACTACACATAAGGGGCATAACTAGCCGACCCCTCACAGTGTTCAAGAGAGAACTGGATAAGCACCTCCAAAGGATACCTGATCAACCAGGCTGTGACTCATACGTCAGGCTGCGAGCAGCCGCGTCCAACAGCCTGGTTGATCAGTCCGGCAACCAGGAGGCCTGGTCGACGACCGGGCCGCGGGGACGCTAAACCCCGGAAGCACCTCAAGGTAACCTCAAGGTAACCTCAAGGTACCATAGTGGGGAAGTTTAAGTAAAAGGAAGTTTTGGTATACGGTATCAAAGACAGTGTGTGTGGCCAGGGGAGGATTATGGCCAGGGAGGGGTGTGGCTAGGGAGGAGTGTGGCCAGGGAGGAGTGTGGCCAGGGAGGAGTGTGGCCAGGGGAGGAGTATAGCTAAGGAGGGGTGTGGCCAGGGGAGGATTATGGCCAGGGAGGGGTGTGGCCAGGGGAGGATTATGGCCAGGGAGGGGTGTGGCTAGGGAGGAGTGTGGCCAGGGGAGGAGTATGGCTAGGGAGGGGTGTGGCCAGGGGAGGATTATGGCCAGGGAGGGGTGTGGCTAGGGAGGAGTGTGGCCAGGGAGGAGTGTGGCCAGGGGAGGAGTATAGCTAAGGAGGGGTGTGGCCAGGGGAGGATTATGGCCAGGGAGGGGTGTGGCCAGGGGAGGATTATGGCCAGGGAGGGGTGTGGCTAGGGAGGAGTGTGGCCAGGGAGGAGTGTGGCCAGGGGAGGAGTATAGCTAAGGAGGGGTGTGGCCAGGGGAGGATTATGGCCAGGGAGGGGTGTGGCCAGGGGAGGATTATGGCCAGGGAGGGGTGTGGCTAGGGAGGAGTGTTGCCAGGGGAGGAGTATGGCTAAGGAGGGGTGTGGCCAGGGGAGGATTATGGCCAGGGAGGGGTGTGGCTAGGGAGGAGTGTGGCCAGGGAGGAGTGTGGCCAGGGGAGGAGTATAGCTAAGGAGGGGTGTGGCTAGGGAGGAGTGTGGCCAGGGAGGAGTGTGGCCAGGGGAGGATTATGGCCAGGGAGGGGTGTGGCCAGGGGAGGATTATGGCCAGGGAGGGGTGTGGCTAGGGAGGAGTGTTGCCAGGGGAGGAGTATGGCTAGGGAGGGGTGTGGCCAGGGGAGGATTATGGCCAGGGAGGGGTGTGGCTAGGGAGGAGTGTGGCCAGGGAGGAGTGTGGCCAGGGGAGGATTATGGCCAGGGAGGGGTGTGGCTAGGGAGGAGTGTTGCCAGGGGAGGAGTATGGCTAGGGAGGGGTGTGGCCAGGGAGGGGTGTGGCTAGGGAGGAGTGTTGCCAGGGGAGGAGTATGGCTAGGGAGGGGTGTGGCCAGGGGAGGATTATGGCCAGGGAGGGGTGTGGCCAGGGAGGGGTGTGGCCAGGGGAGGATTATGGCCAGGGAGGGGTGTGGCTAGGGAGGAGTGTGGCCAGGGGAGGAGTATAGCTAAGGAGGGGTGTGGCCAGGGGAGGATTATGGCCAGGGAGGGGTGTGGCCAGGGAGGGGTGTGGCCAGGGGAGGATTATGGCCAGGGAGGGGTGTGGCTAGGGAGGAGTGTGGCAAGGGAGGAGTGTTGCCAGGGGAGGAGTATGGCTAGGGAGGGGTGTGGCCAGGGGAGGATTATGGCCAGGGAGGGGTGTGGCCAGGGGAGGATTATGGCCAGGGAGGGGTGTGGCCAGGGAGGGGTGTGGCCAGGGGAGGATTATGGCCAGGGAGGGGTGTGGCTAGGGAGGAGTGTGGCAAGGGAGGGGTGTGGCTAGGGAGGAGTGTGGCAAGGGGAGGAGTATGGCTAGGGAGGGGTGTGGCCAGGGGAGGATTGTGGCCAGGGGAGGAGGGTGGCCAGGGAGGAGTGTGGCCAGGAGAGGAGTGTGGCCAGGGGAGGAGTGTGGTCAGGGGAGGAGTGTGGCCAGGAAGGAGTGTGGCCAGGGAGGAGTGTGGTCAGGGGAGGAGTGTGGCCAGGGAGGAGTGTGGCCAGGGAGGGGTGTGGCCAGGGCGGGTGTGTGGCCAGGGAGGAGTGTGGCCAGGGAGGGGTGTGGCCAGGGCGGGAGTGTGGCCAGGGAGGAGTGTGGCCAGGGAGGGGTGTGGCCAGGGAGGGGTGTGGCCAGGGCGGGAGTGTGGCCAGGGAGGAGTGTGGCCAGGGAGGGGTGTGGCCTGGACCAGGGTGCCAGGAGAGCGGGGGAGCAGCAGCAGTGTTGGTGCGGGAGTGTGGCCAGGGAGGAGTGTGGCCAGGGAGGAGTGTGGCCAGGGAGGGGTGTGGCCAGGAAGGAGTGTGGCCAGGGAGGGAGTGTGGCCAGCGAGGAGTGTGGCCAGGGAGGGAGTGTGGCCAGGGAGGAGTGTGGCCAGGGAGGAGTGTGGCCAGGGAGGAGTGTGGCCAGGGAGGAGTGTGGCCAGGGAGGGAGTGTGGCCAGGGAGGAGTGTGGCCAGGGAGGAGTGTGGCCAGGGAGGAGTGTGGCCAGGGAGGAGTGTGGCTAGGGCGGGAGTGTGGCCAGGGAGGAGTGTGGCCAGGGCGGGAGTGTGGCCAGGGCGGGAGTGTGGCCAGGGAGGAGTGTGGCCAGGGAGGAGTGTGGCCAGGGCGGGAGTGTGGCCAGCGAGGAGTGTGGCCAGGGCGGGAGTGTGGCCAGCGAGGAGTGTGGCCAGGGCGGGAGTGTGGCCAGCGAGGAGTGTGGCCAGGGCGGGAGTGTGGCCAGGGAGGAGTGTGGCCAGGGAGGGAGTGTGGCCAGGGAGGAGTGTGGCCAGCGAGTGTGGCCAGGGCGGGAGTGTGGCCAGGGAGGAGTGTGGCCAGGGAGGGAGTGTGGCCAGGGAGGAGTGTGGCCAGGGAGGGAGTGTGGCCAGGGAGGAGTGTGGCCAGCGAGTGTGGCCAGGGCGGGAGTGTGGCCAGGGAGGAGTGTGGCCAGGGAGGAGTGTGGCCAGGGAGGGAGTGTGGCCAGGGAGGAGTGTGGCCAGGGAGGGAGTGTGGCCAGGGAGGAGTGTGGCCAGCGAGTGTGGCCAGGGCGGGAGTGTGGCCAGGGAGGAGTGTGGCCAGGGAGGAGTGTGGCCAGGGCGGGAGTGTGGCCAGCAGGAGTGTGGCCAGGGAGGGGTGTGGCCTGGAGCAGGGTGCCAGGAGAGCGGGGGAGCAGCAGCAGTGTTGGTAGTGTTGGTGCGGGAGAAGGTTACGCTCCGTGACAGTTGTGGTCACCTCGTCTAGTGCGTGTCCACCTGCTGGTGGGTGAGGGCAGCAGGTGTGGAGCCACACCTGCTGCCACACACAAGTGCTCGTGCCTCCCACAAGTGTGCCAAGTGCCCCCCACACCTGCCCCAACACTGTACTCCTCCTGCTGTGGTTACCTTCGCTCAGTCTGTCACTTGACGCTAAGAGGCACCTCGAGAGGCTGACACTTAACGACCCCCTCAGTGCCTCCCCACGGTCCCCAGGTGACCCCAAGTGGACCCCAGGTGACCCCAAGTGGTCACTCGGGTCTGGGGTTGTGGGGGCTGGGGCCACTTAAGGCCTCCTGGTAACATAAGTGGTGACGCGGGTCGTCTCCGCCAGTCCTGGAGCGGACGCACTCCCTCCAATGGCTTCTGCAATGATGTATTTACATAAATTATCCTATTTAAATATTTTCCCATTGTCGGTTAGGCTTATAGACGTCCTTCTCCTACCTGACTATCCCCCAGGGGTCAGGTCAGGGAGCTGACTATCCCCCAGAGGTCAGGTCAGGGAGCTGACTATCCCCCAGAGGTCAGGTCAGGGGACTGACCGTCCCTCAGAGGTCAGGTTAGGGGACTGACCATCCCCGAGAGGTCAGGTTAGGGGACTGACCATCCCCGAGAGGTCAGGTCAGGGGACTGACCATCCCCGAGAGGTCAGGTTAGGGGACTGACCATCCCCGAGAGGTCAGGTCAGGGGACTGACCATTCCCGAGAGGTCAGGTTAGGGGACTGACTATCCCCGAGAGGTCAGGTTACGGGACTGACCATCCCCGAGAGGTCAGGTCAGGGGACTGACCATCCCCTGAGAGGTCAGGTTAGGGGACTGACCATCCCCGAGAGGTCAGGTCAGGGGACTGACCATCCCCGAGAGGTCAGGTTAGGGGACTGACCATCCCCGAGAGGTCAGGTCAGGGGACTGACCATCCCCCGAGAGGTCAGGTTAGGGGACTGACCATCCCCGAGAGGTCAGGTCAGGGGACTGACCATCCCCCGAGAGGTCAGGTCAGGGGACTGACCATCCCCGAGAGGTCAGGTCAGGGGACTGACCATCCCCGAGAGGTCAGGTCAGGGGACTGATTATCCCCCGAGAGGTCAGGTCAGGGGACTGACCATCCCCGAGAGGTCAGGTCAGGGGACTGATTATCCCCCGAGAGGTCACGTCAGGGGACTGACCATCCCCCGAGAGGTCAGGTTAGGGGACTGACCATCCCCGAGAGGTCAGGTCAGGGGACTGACCATCCCCGAGAGGTCAGGTCAGGGGACTGATTATCCCCCGAGAGGTCACGTCAGGGGACTGACCATCCCCCGAGAGGTCAGGTCAGGGGACTGACCATCCCCGAGAGGTCAGGTCAGGGGACTGACCATCCCCTGAGAGGTCAGGTCAGGGGACTGACCATCCCCCGAGTGGTCAGGTCAGGGGACTGACCATCCCCCGAGAGGTCAGGTCAGGGGACTGACCATCCCCCAGATGTTACCCAAAACAGTTTACTCACTCCCAGGTACCTATTGAGGCCTAGTAACAAAGTGAAGAGGCATCACCTGTAAGGAACTATGCCCAAACGTCTCTCCTAGCTGGGGACTAATGAACTGCAGGTCACTTTGTACTCAAGACGAGTCATTAATGGACTTTAAAGTCTACCTAGCCCCTATACTGGAGCTGGAGCCCCTAAGGTAGTTCGTTGTTGCCTTCGACCTCGTCATGACAGTTCCTGCGACCGTGCTAGAACCAATCGTATTGGCGTTGGTCTTTCCATTTGAGACTTTTGGCGCCATGGAAGGGAGGGGGGGAACCTGCTGAATAGGGTAACAGCTTCTCCGTATCAACCTACCCTGACTTTGTGCCGTGGAGAGGCCACTCCAAATAGACAACCAGAGCGCAAGTTCATAGTCTCCTGAGACTGATGGATGCCTACTATTCTGTAGTATACTAGCCCCCATATAATCCCTTTCCTTCATTTGTACACAGTACTTCCATCGTGGCCCATCTAATATTTCTAGCATTCCTTTTCAGCAGCATATATACTAATGCCTACAAACATAGGATTATTCCTAAATGGTAGGAGTGAGTGCCCCCAAAGATACAAAACCAGTCTCCTCAATGTTTATTTTCGTCGAGCCCTTACCCGCTGCTCTGAATGGAGCAATGTTAGTAGGGTGTTTGAAAGAATAAAACAGGTATTGGTGAACAATGGATACAGTAACAGAGATTAACACCACTATGCTTGGACTGGTGGTACAATCCTGAACCAAGAACATAAACTGCAACACCTCCATAAAATTACATTGCAAATCAACCATGCATAGTGAACATAAAAAAGAAGAAAAAATAATGATAGAAATAATTGAAAGAGGAGAAAAAAGCACAACTCCAAACCAAAACATAGACCCAATCATGTACTGTACTATAAACAAAGATGACCACTGACGACCTCATTCAAAACAGCCAGAAGCCAACGGAGAACCCTTTACAGCAGTCGAACGTGGTATATATGTACACCTGCCCCCACGAAGGATGTAGCCTTCAATCCAAGTACTGAACATAGGTATGACATCGACCAAGCTCACAAGGTGTTTGACCTGTGATGACAGGTCAGTGACAGTGCTTCAATCGGATGCCCCTAAAACTCACGAGACAATCCTATGACATCACCCTAACAAAAGAAAATACTGTACAGTACAGTACCTGCATAATAGACAAAACTCCGGATGTAAGAAAACAAAATCTTGAAGCGATTCATATAAAAGCCGAATAACCCACCATAAATACCCAAATAACGGAACTATTCACTCTACCCACCATGAGAGTAAGAACAAGACCAGAACATGAAGAGGCCATTGTAGACGACAGTACTCAAAACTCCATGCCCACTACACCTGATTAATCTTTGTATGTGGTCCCTCCCTTTTTCAATCTTTATTCGTCCCCATTTACGTCCCCCATTCGTCCACCATTTATGCCCTATTCTTTCCCCGTTTATGCTGTACTCCTCATCTGTTTGTATTATGTACCTGACATTCCTAATGGTATGAATCCAATTTGCCCAGTACAGTCCCATCACTTGAGAATGAACCGTGTAGCTTCGAAACGTTGTGTAAATTTATGATTAGTGTAATACATTCTACAGTTAATTATTCTTTTAGATTACCTCGAACAAAGATTACATTTGGAGAAATCCTCCTCCAATTAAACCAAGATGCAAGAGCACTAATCAGAGGGATAGAAGCCCTAAAATAATCAATGCAGAATATAATGATGATAATTCACAATGTCATGAGACAGGAAGCAGAGTATATTCATACACGTTTGGCTTTTATCGAGGTCCCCCTCCAAAGGCCGAATTACAGACCCCACCCAGGATGTATCCTCACAACAAGCTGACTTAACTCCAGAGTACCTACTTACTGCTAGGTGAACAGAGGCAATAGGTCAAAGGAAATGTGCCCAACCATTTCTGTTCTGCCCAGGATTCGAACCCGGAATTCTCGATTGTGTGTCGAGAACAAGCCCGAATGTACTACCGAGACCCTTTAATACAGTCATATTAAATAAAACATGTCTAAATGAAAACCTGCTGCCAATATTTCTAGTACAGTACTGTATGTACATGTATAACAACAGTTTTGTATAATATAGGTTGTACATGGTTCTTCTTACATGAGACAGTATGCATATGCATTTTAAATTATCCTAACTTGTCATGTGTTTAATTCAATTTTGTCAGGGGACAGGCAGCCAGTGTATATACATTAGGCTTATATTGAGGTCTCCTCCAAGGTCGAACAACTGACCCCCAGGACTGAACCCCACAAAAAGCTGACTAACTCCTGGGTATCTATTTACTGATAGGTGAACAGGTGCAGTAGGTGATAGGAAATGTGCCCAACCATTTCTGTCCCACAACATAGTGTATTGTGTTAGTGTACAAAACAATTATATAATATATTCATATATATTTTTTTAAGTGACATAGCTTAGACTAATATGATGCATATATTTTTGTTAATTAGAATTTTGACAAAACCTAACCAGGTCAAACTGACCAGTAGCAGGTATATACAACACTGTGAAATGTTGGTGTCAAATTCTCAAAGAAACTAACAAGCACATTTCCCTGTTTTTACCCGAGGGCCACTAACACTAGTGGCTTTGACCAGCACATGAAGACGGTGACTTGTCAAAGGACCCCTATTTTCCTTGATGATCCTCTACAGGTGGATTTTAAAACCAAACAGTTTTGCCATTTATGGCTTTGGCAGGTATACATACATAGTATGCATACATATATAGTACATAGTATGTATACATATATAGTACATAGTCTATATGACTATTTGTCCCCAGTGTTAGACAGGAAGCCTGTACTGTACTGTACTTAAGCTTCCTGAGTGCCCCCCCCCCACACACCCTAGGCCAACTACTGACCTTTCCAAGGTTGCAACCCACATCATTTTCCTAACTCCCAGGAACATACCTGAATTGTACCTGGCAGGCGGGGGGGGGGGGTTCTGGGAATAGTTGTTCTCCCAAAGCCTGGTTCTGGCCCAGGTTTGACAGAGCCTGATTCAATGGCTCTTGCTTGGAGTGGCCCGCAGGTCCACATATCCAATACAACCCAATTGGTCTCACATTTCTTGCTAGACACTACAAATTTTTTTTATTGAAATCCACTTTTGTTCCTGCAATGGTTCTTATAATTACTGGAAGAATATTGAACAGCCATGGACCTCTGATGTTCATACAATATTCTGTGATTGTGCCTATGGCACCCCTACACTTCACTGGCTCTATTTTGCATTTCCTATCATATTGTTTGCTCCAGTACATTAATATGCTGTACAAATTTGGGAACTTGCCTTCCAGTATTTTCCATGTACAGTATATACTGTGATACCTCTGTGTAGTCTCCTTTCCAGAGAGCACATTCTGAGAGCTTGGAGATGGTTGCAATAATTTAGGTGCTTTGTGTGTGTATGTGCTGTATATGTTCTCT